GACATCTAGGTTGTTTCCAGATTCTGGCTATTACTAATAAAGTTTCTATGGACATAGATGATTAGATATCCTTGTTGTATAGTAGAGCATCTTTAGGTATATGTCCAGGAGTGGTATATCTGGGTCTTGAGACAGAGCTATTCCCAAATTTTGAGAAAGTGTCAGATTGATTTCCAAAGTGGTTATACAAGTCTGTACTCTCACCCAGCAGTGGAGGAGTGTTCCTCTTTCTCTATATCCTCGCCAGCCAGTATGTGTTGTCACTTGAGTTTTTGATCTTAGCGATTTTGATGGGTGCCAGATGGAATCTCAGAGTCATTTTGACTTCTATTTCCCTGATGACAAAGGACATTGAGCCATTTCTTTAAACACTTGTTGGCCATTCAAGATTTCTCTGTTGAGAATACTCTATTTAGCTCTGTACCTCAGTTTTAATGGATTATTTGGTTAATTGGTGTTCTTGATTTGTTTATATATTTATATATTTGTTTATATATTCAGATATTAGGTCTTTGTTAGATGGAGGATTAGTGAGGATCTTTTCCCATTCTGTAGCCTCTTGCTTTGTTCTGCTAACAGTGTCCTTTGTTTTACAAAAGCTTTTCAGTTTCAAGAGGTACTGTTTATTAATTGTATACCTTAGAGCCAGAGCTGTTGGTGTCCTGTTCAGGAAGCTGTCTCCTGTACAAATGAGTTAAAGGTTCCTTCCACACTTTCTCTTCTAGCAAATTTGGTGTATCTTGTTTTATATTGACACACTTGGACTTGAGTTTTGTGCAGGGAGGAAAATATGGATCTCTTTGCATTCTTCTAAATGTAGACATCTATTGGACTAACACCATTTGTTGAAGATACTTTCTTTTTTTCCATTGTTTGGTTTTGGCTTTTTTGTCAAAATCAAGTGTCATTAGGTGTGTTAGTTTATTCCTGGGTCTTCGCTTTGATTTTATTGAACAACCATTCTGTTTCTATGCCAATTTCATGCAATTTTATTACTATTGCTCTGTAGTATAGCTCACCCTGAATGCACTGGTTCTTTTTCTCTGATCTTAGAAGCTAAGGTGGGTTGAGCCTGGTTCATACTTAGATGGGAGCAGTTTATATATTAATAAAATATTAAAATAAGAAATAAAATATCAACAGCAAATATTTTATATTGAGCTAATGGTGATCCTTCTCTTGTTGGATTCTCACTGGTCTTGCTTTATTATATTGATTATCAATTCTCCCACTAGCAGAATGCTGTGTATCCTGTGCCATAATATCAGAGTTAATATTTTCCTAACATACATGGCTTCATATTATAATTGGCTCAGAAATATTGATTTATAGAGTCAGAATAACTCATTAATATGTAGAAGTTCCTACATTTTAATATGATAAAATGTCTTGCAAAATAAATACCCCAAAGAGTCATTTGTTTTTACTGTAGGCATTATTCAATGCTGAGTTGTGCATTAAATGCAGAAAACAAATATTTGTTGATTTATGTGTATAAATGAAAAATCTGACTATGAAAGATTTATGTATTTAAATCACTTGTAATTGCTTTGAAATAGCAATAAATATAAATTCAAGCAAGGAACCTGTAATATTGTTGTTAATTGGCATCATAAAAATTATCCTTTAAATCCTATCTGTAATTAGCCTAATTATCTATTTATTGCCTCCAGTAAATAGTTAGCAGAAATAAACGACAGTTAAAGGCACTCATCTCAGAAGTCATCACACTTCTGTAAATTTCAAACGTCTAAATCATGTGACCTATTTTTTATTTAAGACAACTGCATGAGGCTAGCAATTTATTTTTTTTAAATTTTTATCATTTATTACAATTTTTTTTATCCCAGCTGTAGCCCCTTCCTAATCCCCTCCCAATCTCACCCTCTCTCCTTCTTCTTCCCCTGTGCCCTGCCCCTAGTCCACTGATAGGGGAGGGCTTCCTTCCCTTCCATCTGACCCTAGCCTATCAGGTCTCATCAGGACTGGTTGCACTGTCTTCTTCTGTAGCCTGGCAAGACTACAACCCCCAGGGGGAGGTGATCAGGAAGCCTGTCACTGGGTTCATGCCAGAGAAAACCCCTGTTCCTCTTAGTAGGGAACCCACTTGGAAACTGAGTCTATGGGCTACATCTGTGCCAGGGTTTTAGGTCCTCGCTATGCATGGTCCTTGGTTGGAGTATTGGTCTCAGCAGGGCACCCACAGCTCAGTTTTTTGGTTCTGTTCCTCTCCTTTTGGAGCTCCCGTCCACTCCAGGTCTTTCAATCTGCCCCTTTTTTCATAAAAATACCTGCACTCTACCCAAAGTTTGGCTGTGAGTCTCAACCTCTGCTTAGATATCTCAATCAGTAGAGTCTTTCAGAGGCTCTCTATAGTAGGCTCTTGTCCTGTTCCCTGGATTCTCCTGCTTCTGATGTCTATTGCACTTGTCCTGAATGAGGATTGAACATCTTCCCTAGGGTCTTCCTTGTTTAGGTTTACAGATTTTAGTATGTTTATCCTATATTATATGACTAATAACCACTTATAAATGAGTATATACCATGTGTGTCTTTCTGCTTCTGGGTTACCTCACTCAAGATGATCTTTTCTAGTTTTCATCATTTGAGGCTAGAGATTTAAATTACCTTTTTTTGTGCTATGCCCATCTGGATACTCAACTTTCTTGTAAACCATTTAAAAACGTCTTATTTATAGTTCTGGTTAAGAAAACATGTGTAATCATCAATATTTTTTTATCTGAGGGAACATATAAACAAATCTCTGTAGAGAATGAGTGATTCCTCACCTGCAAAAGCTAATCATTCCTAGAAATAAAAAAAAAGTGATGTGGCTTTGTGAGCACTGTTTATCAAAATGCCTACGAATTTCTACTGAAGTTTTATAGCTTGAGGACTTTGTCAGATATACTATGAGACCATATCTGGAAAAACATTGAAACTGACAGATTTAGCCCTGTGTAAAAGAAAAAGGGCATCCAGCAAAGACTGGCACAACCCCTGAACCTGGCTGATGAGTATCAGGTCAGATAGAAAAAGTTTACAAGGCGTACAGTGGTAGAACAGTGACCTAAACAAACATGGCAAAAAAAAAAAAAAAAAAAAAGATGCTGTGATTGCAAACAAACATCAAACCACAGGAAACATTTCTCCTCATTCATTTTCTTTACCAAGCTGTCTGGAAGACATGATGGATCTTCTTGAAATTTTTATCCTTTTTTTAAAATTTGATTTAATTTTATTTTTTTCTTTTCTTTTCAAAATAATTTTTTAATTCTTTATTAATTACACTTTATTCATTTTGTATCCCCCCTGTGGTTCCCTCCCACCTCCCCTCACAATCCCTCCCTTCCTTCACTCTCTGAACGCATGCCCCTCCCCAAGCCCAGTGATAGAGGAGGTCTTCTTTTCTTTTTTTCTGATTCTGGTCAATTTGGTATCACCAAGAGTGGCTGCATTGTCTTCTTCTGTGGCCTGGTAATGCTGCTTCCCCATCAGGGGGAAGTAATTAAAGAGCAGGCCAATCAGTTCATGTCAGAGACCATCCCTGTTCCTATTACAATGGAACCCACATGGATACTGTACTGCCATGGGCTACTTCTGTGCAGGGGTCTTAGGTTATCTCCATGCATGGTCCTTGGTTGGAATAGCAGTCTCAGGAAAGACCCCTGTGCTCAGATTTTTTGGTTCTGTTGCTCTCCTTGTGGAGTTCCTGTCCTCTCCAGATCTAACTGTTTCCCACTTCTTTCATAAGATTCCTTGCACTCTGCCCAAGGGTTGCCCATAAGTCTCAGCATCTGCATGGATAGTCTGCAGGGCAGAGCCTTTCAGAGGTCCTGTGTCAGGCTCCTGACCTGTTCCCTCTTTTCACTTTCTTCTGATGTCCATCCTCTTTCCCTTTCTGGATAGGGATTGAGCATTTTAGCAAGAGTCCTCCTTCTTGAATAATTTCTTTAGGTGTACAGAAACCTACTAGAAACTATTATCCTTTCATGTCAACTTTGTGAATATGTTATGTCTTTCTTCAACTAAAATCCAAAGAACCACAGCAAAATGATTCTTTGTGTATTATATTATGGAGGTGATGGGCACAGTTGAAGCATCTATGTAAAAATATTCTTCATTGCAGAAAGAAGATAATTTCCAAATATTCTGGAAAATCTCAATAGAGGGAAGTTTAAGAAAAGAACAAAGGACCCTGATTACCAGGAGATATGGGACTGTAGTTGATAAGCTTTAATTATATATTGTATCACCTTATAACCACTTAAAATGCTGACTATCGATGTGAAGCGACTATAGAGTGAGCAGGCAAAAAAAATTATTGACAACATAAAGGAAGATTGTTAGGAAGACATAAAGTAAGGAGGAATGAATGACTATTTACTAAGATTCTCATGTGGCAGCTTCTTACATATATTGCCTCTCTAATATGTATGCTAAAGATTTCAGTATGAGCCAGAACTGGCTCTCCGGTGACACTTCTGTATCCTCTCAACTCTGTGTTTAGTCACTTTACTTTGTATTTTTAAATTACCTGTCCTGGAATAATTAACCACTTAGAAATCAGCAAACGTTAGAAATCAAGGCCTTTTCCTTTATTCTCCGAGAACAAAACTGTTAAACACTTACCACCAAAGTATTCATTAGCTTTAAATAGAAATATATGTTATATGTACAAAAAAAGGGCCTAGAACTAACTCAGAAAAATACAGTAAATACTTTATTGAATTTAAAGTCTTTAATTTAGGTGACTATTTTTTTAAACATCCATGTTATCTTTAGATTGTACCCCTGAAGTATTTTACTACCCCATTGATTTATCTCTTTATAATTGAGTTAAAACTGAAATGGTTTTATGATTTTGTAACAGACTTTTGTTGCTACATTTCATAATGAGATATATTATGATTGGATTAATAATATGTGATGCATTAGCAAATACAAAGTTTACCTACAACAATCCTTGATATCATTAACCATTCTGTGTTGCTTTTCAGTGAGGCCCACAGTAATTGAAACTGACGTTTATGTGAACAGCATTGGACCAGTTGATCCTATAAACATGGTGAGTTACAATATAGGATTCATGAGTGTGTGCATCACAGCAGAATGAGTAAATGCTGAATTAAGATAGCTGATTGTGAAATAATCCAGTTTTAAGACTTAGCTTACTGGTTATTATACTGATTAGTTTGACAATGAGACACAAAGTAAGTTCTTCTGGATAGAGAGAATCTCAGCTGAGAGAAGATGACTATTTCAGATTAGCCTGTATGCAAGTGTGGGTGGTGCCAGGTCTGGGAAGGTGGCTCTGGGTTGTTTAAGAAAGCAGGATTCCCTCCGAGGGAGCGGGATACAGCTGGGACACAGAGTTAACAAAATGTAACTAAAAAGAAAAAGAAAAAAGAAAAGAAAAAGAAAAAAAAAAGAAAGAAAGCAGGATTAGCCAGAGCAAGGAGAGCAAGGCAGCATTCCTCTGTGGTCAGTGTTACAGTTTCTTTTAAAATGGTTTTAGCCTGCCTGAATTCCTGTAGAGGATCTCGTCAATGATGGACTGTGACCTGTAAGACAAATAAATGTCTTCTTCCTCAAGTTGTTTTTGGTTGTTGTCTTTATCACAGCAATAGAAAATAAACTAGAAAAGCTACCTGTTAAGTATTGGCAAGTGGAGTTAGAACAAAACTTATGAAAGAACTAGTAACATCTTATTCCAGCAGATTTAATCTCCAGTGCATAAATAGTTATTACCCAATCTACCAGGAGATAATCTCGGGAGAAATCCAGGAAAAGAAATGTTAAAAAGCTCAGTGAGAAAACAGTCTGAAACTGGAAAGTCTTGGTAGAAAAACAAACTAACAACATAGGCATAGTTTAGGCTAACAATATTACGACTATAGGTATTAATTCAGAAAAAAAATATTTTAATATTCAAGGGAATCTATAAAGCAAAACAAAAACCTATTCCCTAGAGCCACACTCCTGTGTATATGCAATGGGGTCAGTAATGTGTCTTAATAATGTAATATCTCCAACATCGCCATCAGTGAATAGTTTTCCAATGTTGCTGCAGAGACTGTGTGAGAGGAATTCACTGCACAGCTCTGTAAGAGAGGAATACAAATTCTTCCTGGGCATCACTCATCGCCACTCTCAATTTGGATCTTCACAATGCTCTTTGTGCTTGCTTATTTCTGGTGTCTCTTTCAGTATGTTTTTAAAGATTTATTTTTTCTCTGTAAAATTATGTATATGAACTAATGTGAATACTGCATTCTGGCGCGATATGCTTAAAAAGTAAAAAGTTTAGATTTTAAAAGTGTATGAGCTTGTGTGCACATATGTGCATGTGTGTGCTTGTGTGTCTGGGTTGTGCCTGGCTATCTGTTTCTCTGTGTGTCTGTGTGGATATGTGCTCATAAGTGCAGGTACTCTGGAGGCCAAAGACTTCAAAAGTGCCTAAAACTGGAGTTCTAGATGGCTGTCAGCAGCTCAGTGTTGCTGTTGGGAACTGAAATTTTGTCCTCTGGAACAATAGTACACGCTCCTTATCACTGAGCCATCTCTCTAATGCCTCTTCTTTTCTAATTATAAATGCTATTGAATTAGGACTCACACTTATTTTAAGGTAGTTAAAAGTAGTATTTTTTTTAAACATTTCTTGTATGCAAACATAGTCACATTCTGAGGTACTGGACAAATAGAATTCAGCATGAATTTGGAAATTATCCAACTCAATCCAAGACTCTCTAACATTTTCTCTTTTTCCCTTATTTGATTTATTCAATATTACAAGAGTCAAATTTCATCTTACTGTAGACCTTAACTGTTCTTTATACATGGCACTTACTAATGATTGAACTCAACCCCAAACATGCTAGGCAAGTGCTGAACGACTGACTGATGTGCCCATCTCATTAATCACCTCATAGCTGGGAAACTATTGCGATATACTTAACTTTTGCCTGTTTCTCCTTATTCTGATAGTACTTCCCCATACTTAACTGCTATCTTCCTTTTGGCTCAGCAGTTATTCACACTGATTGCCTCCCCAGAGGACCTGTGCTTGATCCCCAACATCTATGTGGAAACTCAAAATCATGTACAACTAAAGACCCAGGGTATCCAACACCCTCTTCTGAAAAAAGTGCACACACATGTAATGCGCACATGTAATTACATACATACATACATACATACATACATACATACAAGTAAATATACATACATACAAATAATAAAATGAACTTAAAAACTTCTCTCTCTGAATATGTTGTTCTCACGGCTGGCACCAACTTCCACAGCTGTCTGCACTGATTGCTGTAATTACAGCATTTTGCCTATACTCTAGCTGACATATTAGTTATTGTAAGGCAAGTGCATATAAATAAGCTGCTGTTAAATAAAATTTGAAATGATAAGGAGTTTCCCATTGGACTGGCCTGGAAGATGGTCTTAAGTACAAGCTAATACTCAGGGGTAAGACCTGGGCTATAGCCAGATAATCAAGAATTATCTAAGCTGCTTTCCTTTCCAAAGCTAACTACATGAAATTGCAACTGGAACTCCCGACACTAATATATTTAGGGAAGAAAAATAAACAATGTGGAGTAGTACATAGAATTGATTATAGGAAAATGAACAAACAAAGAAAAAAAAAGACAAAAACCACATTTATAAGTAGAACTACTACGACTATGTAGAAGACGATTTTAACTAAGGAATTTAGGACAAATGCAACCCACATTTCATAAAATGAACAAAAATGTTTTGACGTGAGTATATTAAAGGAAGGGAACATGAGTACAATTTAACAGACAAGAGGCTAGCTTCAAATTTTTCCTTGGTAATTGCTCATAAAATTGCAGTATAAGTGAAAATATTCATGCACTTTTATAACTGTTTTATAGAACAGATAGACTTGTTACAAAATGTTTCCTTCTCTTTTTAAAGTTGTCTACATTACGTAGCACATTATAAGATCTAAAGCTTCATTTCATAATTATATACTTACTTCTTTCTTGTGTTTCAGGGTTTGATTATGAGTTTGAAATAATATATCCTTATTTTAAAAATAGGGCTTTTCATATTAGCTACCTTAATGCAGCACCCAATTAATAGATCATTTCTTTAATTGCTATTTTGAGAATTGATAATTAAAAATTATACAGAATGAAATAGTGACGGCTTAAAAGAACTAAGTATGGAAAGAGGCATTTTAGTTTTGCTTCCATTCTGATTAAAACACATAAATATGATTCCTTGCACGCTGCCGAAGGTTTGATTATGAGTCTTAGTAGCTGCTTTGATACACTGCTAGGTAGAGTCTTTCAGGCGGCCTCTGTGGTAGGTTTCTGCCCTGTTACTTGTTTTCTCCTATGTCCAATGCCCATCCCATATGTCTTTCTAAGTGAGGACTGATCATCTTACCCCACGTCTTTTTTCTTGTTTGTCTTCTTTAGGTGTATAGATTTCAGTATGTTTATCATATCTTATAGGTCTATATAAGTGAATATATACCATGTGTGTCTTTCTCCTTCTGGGATACCTCACTCAGAATGATCTATGAAAGAAGGGTGAGTTAGTATGATGTGGAGAAGATAGGAGCTCCACAAGGACCAAATATATCTGGGCACAGAGGTCTTCTATGAGACTGTTTCTCCAACCAAGGACCATAGATGGATATAACCTAGAACCTCTGCTCGGATATACCCCGTGGTATCTCAGTATCAAAGTGGGTATCCTAGTAAGGGGGACAGGGACTATTTCTGATAAGAACTCAATGGCAGGCTCTTTGACTTCCTCACCTCCTGAGGAAGGAGTAGCCCTGCTAGCCCACAGAGGAGGACATTGCAGCCAGTCCTGAAGATACCAGATAAAACAGGGTCAGATGGAAGGGGAGGAGGACCTCCCCTATCAGTGGACTTGGAAAGGGGCAGGAAAGTGATGAAGGAGGGATGGTGGGGTTGGGAGGGAATGAGGGAGCAGGATACAGCTGGGATACAGAGTTAATAAAATGTAACTAATAATAAAAATAAAAAAAGAAAAAATCATAAATATAGGTAGAAAAGCAAGTGCATCGAGATATGAATCAAGATAATGTCAGGTGAGGTTAGTATAAGGGAAAGGAAGTGCTTTCCTCCTTGCAAAATTTCAGTCTTTGCAACATGGATATTATTTAACTTTGTTGATCATCTATAGCTCATAATTCCCTTCTGGCCACTGGCTAAAACCATCAAGGAAGGCCTAAAACAATTCCTCTTCAGACATAATCTCTCTTGTCATAGTCATAAGACTGACTTCTCACAGTCACAGAAAACAGTTTCTGAAACTGCATAGATTCTTCTTGCTAGAATTTCTAACCGGCTTTGCTAATGGAGAGAGGGCTGAGAACCAGGAATTCACATAAGAGGTGTGTAATTCAGAGACAGTATGGAGAATCAGTGGGACTGTATTCCAAAAAATACAGACTACCAGATTAGGCCACATGGCAAAGATTACAAATAATATTGGATCAAGTTGGTAAATAAAATTAATTTATATTAGTCACTATATAAATAATTAACACACTAGATTGTTTTAAAATTATCCCAAATGCAAACCTATCCCCTCTTCTCCTCTCAGTCCCATCGTCCCATCTACTTCCCCCATACCGCACGCCCACCCTGCCTGGTGTACCAACCTACACTGGCACTTCAAGTCACATCAGGACTAAGTGCCTTCTCTTTCACTGAGGAAAGTGAAAGCATCCCTGCTAGGGAAATGGGACCCGGAGGGAAGCAACAGCGTCCAAGTCAGAGACAGCTCCACTTGTTAAGAGGCCCACTTAAGGACCTGTTTGTATAATGATTTTTTTGGAATGTATACACCTTACCCTTGTTCATTCAAATGCTGAATTTCTCTCCCCCATTATCTGGTTTCAATCTTGACATTGCATTATGATACTTATTCTAAGCATCACCTGTCTCAAGTTTGTGTAAACATGCCACCATTTGTTCTCTAAAATGTCAATTAAAACAAACAGCCACAATGTTGAGCAATGGAGAGGATAGGGTGGGACATCCTGGT